GCTACACATGTGTGAGTCAGACAGTGTTTGGAAACACAAGGGACAGATTAAAATTACAACCGACATTTGAAGAGATGAAAGGTCATGGTGCCATTAAAATAAAAGGAATTAGAAGGAACATTTGAAAATTAAACAAGAAGAGGATGAGGAGGAGATAAAGATCGCCTCGAGACACACATATTGTAATCCCAGTGCTGGGGAGGCTGAAGCAGGAGGACTGCAAGTTCAAGCCCAGGCTAGGCAACTTACTGAGACTTGATCTCAAAAGGAAAATGAGAAAGTAAAGGCTGGGATGTAGTTAAATGGGAAAGCCCTGGGTTTGATCCCAGTATTACCAAAAAAAAGATTTTTAAAAAATGTCAAAACACCCAGAAAAATAACAAAGCGGAAACGGGTTACACAAAGGAGCCACATACCCACTTGGAAGTTGGCATATAATGAACTGTCTCATACCCAAACTATAGAGTGTAAAGGTAAACTGAAGTCTATGAAAATTCACTTCTCATGCAGTCTTTCTCAGGAAGCTAATTAAGAACATATTTCATCAAATCAAAGAAGGAGGATGTCAGGAGAGGCAAGAAACAGAGGAATCAAGATAGAAGAGAAAAAGAAAAAAATCACTAAGAAAATTTTAAAAGAAATCCCAGGGCCAGGCACACTGATACAGACTTGCAATCTCAGAACTTGGGAGGCTGAGGCAGGAGGATCCTGAGTTCAAGATGAGCCTGAACTACATAGAGGCCTTCTATCAAATAAATAGAAAACTTAATGAAATAAAAAAAGGAAAAAAGGGGAAAATTAAAGTGAGAAAAGAAGGAAAGAAGGGAAAAGTAAAAGAAAAGTGAGAAAAGAAGGAAAAAGTGGAAACAGAGTTTTAGTAAATGAGGGAGGAGAGGGATTGAGGGGAGGGTAGGGATGAAAACAAATCCAAGTTATATATTGAAAAAAAGATAAATTAAAAAAAAATTCAAGGTGACAGGTCTTGGGCGAGGGATTTAGCTCAGCAGCATAAGCACCTGCCTGACAAGTACGAGGTCGTGCGTTTGATCCCAGTACCCCCCCAAAAAGGCAAGGTTGATATAAGCCCCAATCAAAGAAAGATGAAGGTGCCACAGGAAGGAAGTCCCCAAGAGTAAAGTGTATTAAAATAGCTTGTTGTCTGTGACTCTTAATGGTAGATTGAAAATTACACAAATAAAAAGCAAAACGATGATATAATTATTTATTTCAGAAAAAGTATGTTCAACGAGAAAAGCACATTTGACTTAGTAGTAGAGGTTTACACAACTCTAATGCTTTTAAATTAGTAAAAAATTGTGAAACAGCTGGGTATGGTGGCACATGCCTGTGATCCCAGCACTCAGGAAGCTGAGGCAGGAAGATTGCTGCAAGTTCAAAGACAGCCTGGGCGACATAGTGAGTTCAAGACCAGTCTGAACCACATATAGAGACCCTGTCTTTAAAAAAAAATGCGAAATAGCTGGGAAGTTGGATAAAGTGGAGGGGAAAATGATGTGAGATAACCCATTTTCCTTGAGAATAAATAAGAAAGATCTACAATTTTTTTGTTGTTTTGTTTTCTCTATTCCTTTTTAGGGAGTGGTGGTTTTGGGGAAGGCCTTGCTCACCTGCCTGCACTGGCCTGGAACTCAAGATCCTCCTGCCTCAGCCTCCTGAGGCACTGGTTTAAATATCTATAATCTTTAAATGGAGAAATCAGAGTGTAATTGTGCTCCTCAGACGTGGGGAGAAAGAGCTAAGGAACAGCCATGAACTGAAGGGGACTGCTTCCAAAGGACAGAATGCATAGTGTGGAGGGACAGAGCAGATAACTGCTTTGTCTCTGTATAAACTATCCAATTTCTAATACCATTACATCTTTAACTCTGAAAAATAATTTTTAAAATTTGGGTAGCCTGGAGAGCAGGCCAGGCAGGAATGATGTATGTGCTGGTAATCCCAGCACTCTGGAGGCTGAGGCAGGAGGATCACTGTGAGCTCAAGGCCAATCTGAGTTAGATAGCACGATCCTGCCTCAAAAAAGGACCAGCCTGTGTGCTGCTCTGAATTTTTCTACATTGTATAGAGAAGCAGCTTTCAGACTGTGCCACTTCATAAAGCAATAGTTTGAGCTGAATTAGTCCATTTGAATACAAGTGCCAAGAGAGAATGCCTCCTGCCTTATTTGTTCAACTAAACAATCTTCCCAGTAAAACTAAGAAATACAAACTAACCTATTCATGGCAATATTGTTATCACAGTAAATCCTGACTGTAGGACATGAGCATATCAGAAAACCACACAGGAACCTGCTATAATGGCACACACCTGTAATCTCAGGATTCTGGGAGGCTGAAGCAGGAACATGCAAAGTCTAAGCTCAGCATGGACAATTTAGCAACTTAGCAAAACTCTCGTCTCAAAATGAGAAATTTTAAAAAGGGGTGGGTGCCAAGGACCTAGGGTTTAAATCCCAGTACTAAAACAAAAACCAAAAAACTAAACACAGGAATTTATCAAACACACCAGATGCAACTCTAATACCAGCAGTCTGGGAGGCTGAGGCAGGTGCATCGCATGTTCAAGCCCAGTTGGGCCCCTTAGTGTGAAACTTAGTCTCCAAATCAAAAATCAAACAGGCCTGGCAATGGAGCTCAGTGTGAAAGCCCTAGGTTCAATCCCCAGTACCAGGGGATGGGGAGGGGGGCACCCAATGCCACCCCCTCCTCTGGCCTATATAAAAGGAGAACCACACATGGGCATCACTGACTCCACCCTCTGGTCATCATGGTACCATGACCTTACCCAGGAGAGCTCGCAGGCGAAGAGCTAGCAGGCAAAGAACTCCTGAGGTGTTGGCTCAGCAGTGCTTGGGACTCAGACTCACCCTTTTCCTCACAGCTTCGTATCTCTGCCACTGGGCTTTGTCTGTTAGTTCTTCTTTTTTTTTTTTTTTTATCGGTACCAGGGATCGAACTCACGACCGCCTGCTTACAAGGCAGACGCTTATGCTGCTGAGCTAAATCCCCAACCCCCTGTCTGTTAGTTCTTTATCCATCTTCTGGCAGAGCCTTCTGCGGGTTTATCAGCCCTGTGCCTTTACTCACTCTGCAGCTGCTTTTATTTATTTTGATTGATTGATTGGCCGATTGTCTTCTTGAGACAGGGTCTCACTATGCAGTTCAAGCTGGCCTTGAGCTCACTTTGTAGCCCAGGTTGGTCTCAAACTCACAATGATCCTCCTGCCTCAGCCTCCTGAGTGCTGAATACAGGCTTGAGCCACCACGCCCAGCTTGCAGCCTCTTTTAAACAGTGTGGCCACTTTTAAACCTTCCATAGCCTGCTGTGCCTTCAATATTACCAGGTGAAGTGGAATGTATAGATTTTACACTATAGATATTCATAATTAAGACTGCAATGGAATAAAACAACTATGATTGCCTTGGTCCCACAAGCAAGTGAAATCTAGAGCACTCAGTGAGTTAAAACTGATGGAATTGTGTAACTTTCAAATTTAGGTTATTCAGTGAACTCTAACATTACAGGACACAAACGTGTCTATGTGTCTGTTCCAGGTTGATGACATAGCTTGCTCACAACAGATAGTAACATTTTAAATTGAACATCCTTTAGTTCACCTCATTGTTTTGCTAAAGATACAGAGAAGTAAAATAAGACATCTGTCAGCTTATTGTCCTCTGATCTCTCTAAAGGTAACCCTACCACCCTTAAAAACTAGGTATCTTTGAAAAATTAATTCTTTGGTGCTAGGAATTTGATCCAGGCCCTGGTATAACTGAGTCACACATACATCCAGTCCAATTACAGTATATACATTTTCATGAACTCAAATAACTACATACATTCTCATCACTCTTCATCTTGGCTTATGTAATGACCAACCACTACATTCTTTTAAAAGAAAATTTGGTTTTGCTTCTACTATGACCTGTTAAATTATGAATGTGAACTGGACATGGTGGCACAGGCCTATAATCCCAGTATTAAGGAGGCTGAGGCGGAAAGATCACCGCCAGTTTGCGGCCAATGTGTGCTACTTAGTGAGTTCAGGGTCAGCCTGGACTGCACAGTGAGACCCTGGCTCTAAATAAATAAATAAAGAAACAAACAAACAAACCATTATTTGAGAACGTGTTTCATGATTTTTGCTTCTACAGACAGGATCTCGCTGTGAGCTCGCGGTGACCTTGAACTCACTGTATAGTCGAAGCTGGGCAAGAATGCCTGAGTATCTTTCTGACTCGTTGTTGGGATTACAAACTTGCACCACTGCATCCCCCGCCCCCCGCAATAGCCCATAAACGCTTCACAAATTCAGTTTACTCAAGTAACACACCTTTACAGAACTACGAATCATTTGAGGCAACATACTAAATCCTGAATTTCTCGGAATCTGTAATATTCTCAGTATATTTCATATATTTCAATACTCTTTAAAGTGCTTAATTCAGCTGCATTTTTACCGATTTAGCTGTAGTAGGGATTGAATCCTAGGCACACTGTACACCCTCATGCCTTTTTTAAATTTTGAGACAGTCTCAGTTAGCTGTCCAGCGTGGTCTCGAACTTGTCATCTCCCCGCCCCTTCGTCCCCAAAGCTGGTATTACAGACGGCTCCACCACGCCCGGCAGGCGTGGCCTTAAAGAAGTGAATGTCAAGTAGAAAAAGTCGCATTTCCAGGAGCAGGCTCTTCTCACTCCATCTCCACGCGAAGTCAAGCCAAGTGAACCCGCCCGAGCTGCTGAGCTCACTCAAGCCGAGCAGATTTATTATTACTGGCCGCGCCACCGACTCCCATTCCCGGGCGACGCTTGCATCCAGGGCGGGCCGGGGCACCACGGCGCCGGCGCAGTGCAGTCCCCGGGCAGCGCGCGAATCCCGCCTCGCACGCCGGGAGGACCGGTCCCAGCGCCCTCCAGGGACCAGCGCAGCCACCTTCAGCCCCCGGGCCACCCGCGAGCCACCCGGCATCCCCGGCATGCTGGAGCAAGATCGCGGAGCACTTCCAACCTCCAGGAGAGTGGAGATGTCCCTCCCGGCCACGCCCCCAAGGCCCTCCCAGGTCCCACCCCGTAAGGCCGGCGCGGGCGGGAGCTGCGTGCTCGCTCCCGCCCGGACGCGCAGCCACGCCCCGAGCGGGCGATGGACGCGCAATCCCGGCGCCCTCCGCGGTGACGTGCGGTGCCGGGGCCGCGCTCGCGCGCCGTAGCCGTTATTATGGCGTCTGGGGCGCGGGCTGAGGAGAGGCGGCCGTAGTCTCCGTAGGGCGAGGCGCTGGCGGCCGGGCATGGAGAGCGGCCCCACGAGCCCGCAGCCGCTGGGACAAGGGGTGGCGACCACACCAGCGCCGGAGGACCGACAAGAGAACCGGCTTGCAGCGGCAGACGGTCCCGGGGCGCGGGCGACGGAGAGCGGCGGCGCGGGCGGGTAGGGGGCGGCGGCCGGCACGGGGAGCTTCTTCGACCCCGCGTCTCTCGCGGGCTCCTCCTCCTCCACCTCCTCCTCCACCTCCTCCTCCTCGGCCGTCCCGGGAGCCGACTCGAGGGAGCCCGCAGAGGAGAGCGCGGCGGCGCCGGCGGGAGGCCGGCGGGAGGGCGGCGCCGGCGGGAGGGCGGCGCCGGCGGGAGGTGACCGCCCGGCCAGAGCCAGCTGCGGCCGGGGACGCGCGCACCTGCCCCGAGGAGCCCCGCCGTGCCCGCGGCGCCTGCAGCAGCGGCAGCGACCCGAGCCCGCCCGAGGACTCGCCGAGCCTAGATTCCCTGGAGTCCTTCTCCAACCTGCACTCTTTCCCCAGCAGCTCCGAGTTCAACAGTGAGGAGGGCGCGGAGAGCCGGATCCCCGAGGAGGAGCAGGAGGGCGCGGCGGGGGCGCCCGGGGCTGCGCCTCTGTGCCGGGGGGAGGATGAAGACGACGCCGCACTGGGGCCAGCTGCCACCAAAGAGCGCTTCCCCGGGCAGTCGTGTGTATCACATCAAGTGGATCCAGTGGAAGGAAGAGAACACACCCATCATCACCCAGAATGAGAACGGGCCCTGCCCTTTGCTGGCCATCCTCAGTGTTTTGCTTCTGGCCTGGAAGGTACATTCTGCAGTTTTCCACTTCCTACAGTTTTTGGGGAGGGGCACCACGGGGTGAGGAAGCTGCAGCTTGTCATTTACTGGCTTCCTTTCTTCTTGCATGTCCCCTTTGCTTCCCGTATGAAAATTGTTCTAGATTCCCCACGTTAAAAGGATATCCGTGTACATAAACATATGTGTACATACTTAATATATATGTTGATGTGCAGTGTTTACAGGCTAGTGGAACTTACAACCTAATTATTTTAAGCTGTATTTTCTGTATTAGTATCACATGTGCAAAAAACTGACGAATGGGAGAAAGTAGTCTTTGCATGACATGGAATAAGTTTTGATGTTTGTGTTCAGTCTATTTTCCACCTAATGCTTCTGTAGTTTGGTGAAGATATTTAACAGAATGGTGACAAGGAAGTTGTGGCCCTTAGACAGATTCCATTTAAGGAAAAGGACTGGTCTGAGGCCCAATCATCGTAACTTGTAGTTTTTATTCTTTTGGGGGTAAGGGGGCAAATCTCAAACAGCCCAGGCTGGCCTAGATCCTCCCCCCTCAGCCTCTCGAGTGCTGGGATGACAGGTATATGTCATCATGCCCAGTAATTTCTACATTTTCAAAGATTCTGCTTTCATTTTATGCATGATTTTTATTTTTTCCTATCTCTGACGCTACATGAAAGGGTTGATATTATTACCAGTAACTATGCATCAGAATGTGATGAGGGAGCTAAAATTATTAACAGCAACAATAAGATAGGTAGCGGGAAAAAAAAAAGAAAAAGAAAAAAGAATGGATAAATGTGTTGAGAACTCAGTCTCTCTGAGTTACCTGCGAGTGAAACTTCTCATTTAAGCGTTCAGTTTTAGGGTGCCAAGAAGATTATCCCAAGGTACCTGTTTTATTTTCAAATTTATAACTGTACTATAGAAAAAATGTCTGTGGGAGGAAAATAGGTTGGGTTATTCTGACCAGTTAGGAACAAAAGCAAGTAAAGCAAATGCTATTTATTAAATGTCTTGACTTTCTGTTGTTAGCAAGGGCCAATCCAGAAAAACAAAAGATGAACTGAGGATGAAGCTCATGGTAGAGCACCTGCCTAGAGTGCACTGTACTCTGGGTTTGGTCCCCAGCACCCTGCCCCCCACCACAATCTTAAAAAGTAAGATTAGAAACATTGCTATCACCTGTGTAAGATAGCGCCAGCCTTTTGGAGCGGGGGCAGTGCCTGCTCTGGAGTTGTCAAAATGTTTGGGATTGCTGCACTGAGTTAGTTGACGTTAGAGAGTAGTAAATACTACTAGGTTACACAGAGCAAATAGAAATGCGTTAGATACCCAAAGGGGGAAATTTTTCTTTGGTCTAGCATAGCCCCAGAAAGCTTTATGGAATTGTGAGTCTTAAACCAAGCTTTTAAGGGAAAGAAGAATAAAAAAAATTTAATTCTTGAGGGAGAAGAGTGTAAACAAAAGTAATGAAAATAGAGTGGATATTTTGTGTACTTTTGTGTGTGTTTATTAGATGACAAGCAGTAAGTTCATATTGGAGAATGATAAAATATTGAAAAGGCAAAGAAGACACACTAGATGGAAGCACTTGAACGGCAAATTGTATTTGGTTCTATGGGCCAGAGTCCCCACTTGCTTCTGCAGGAAGGAATGCCTTAGTTTCCTTTAGGCTTTTTTCTTCTTCATATCCATACTGCAGAACTTCAGAGGAAGGAGGGAAGTACCCAGTGCCTGGCGTGCTCGGGAGTAGATGAGCATTGCACTGGCTCTGAGGGATTGGAGAGCGTGATCACAGTCGGGGTTGCCAGTCTGTGTGGAATGCACAGGTGAGTGCAGTGCGAATCTGCCCACAGGTAGCTCACGATATAGCATGGAGGCAGACAGATAAACTAATTGTAGAGCAGTGTGCAACAGAAGTGCACAGGTCAGGGTAATTTGGGGATGAAACTGCCATCCGAAGTTTTCATAGCAGAGAGAACCTGAGAACCAGGTCTGCGGCTGAATGAGAAAAGGCCTTTGGCCAAGGGATGCTGAAGGAGAAAAGGGTGTATTGTTTGGGACCTCCAGCCTTGGCTGAAATGCATTGGAAGAAGGAAAAGAAATAGGTAGTTTTGGTTAGACTGTGAATGAGCAGACATCCTAATGAATTTTGAAGTTTCTCTTATGAGTTGTGGTTTTCAGCCTCCCTTTTTTTTTTTTGCCTCTAGGTTAGTTTTGTTTTATAGTACTGGGGATTGAACCAGGAGCTTTTGCCCTGAGCTATACTACATCTCCAGTACTTTTTAAATTTTTCTGAGACAGGGTCTCAAATTGCTGAGGCTTGGCTCAGTCTTGCAGTCCTGCATCTTCCTCTCAGAGTGCCAAGATTTCAGATGGGCACTTATGGCTTTCTATAGCTTTAATGCCCACAGAAATCAGTTATTACTAATCATTACTGATTGATAGGAAGATTGGTGTAAATGGAATCATTTTAGATAGGAGTTTGGTTGTGTCCAGTTGGGAAGAAACATGTTAGGTCTCAGGAAAGAGATCAAAATGCTGAGAAAAGTTAAGTGGAAGAATTAGTGTATAGATGAAAGAACAATAATGAGAATAAATGAATTCTCCATAGGGAGTGGTCAGCTGTAGTTCTCAACCTTTTTCTATCCCAGCATACAGGAAGACTTACAAATTGCTGACAGAAACATGTTGGCTGTCTTATTACCTCTGTTTCTCCACTTAATCCTTCGATCCATTCGCCACAAGAGAAAGAGAGGAAGAGAGTAGTAAAAGTGGAAGAATATTTCCAGCAAAGAGCGTAAGAGTGAAACCAGCATATGCACCATTTGACATGTACAGTGGGATAAAAAGTAGAACAGTGTCATCCTAGTCAGGACGAGAGTCTAGAATTTTAGAAATTGGTCAGTTACCTTGGGTAATACAGTAGCATCAAGGAGCATATTGAATAGGAAAGATTTTGCCAAGAAGAACAAATATGGCTACAACATTGCCAAAAAATCAGAGTAATACAGAATCCTAAGACTTAGGTGGTTCTCTTCACAAGAAATGAACAATCTGGGTTTCTGGAGGAACAGAACAAGGAAATTTCAGAGACAACGCAGTGAGGTAGGTGAAAATTGAACCTTCATTATTTTCCATTTTTGCAAAATAATTACCAAAATCAGTAATTAAAGAGGCGAGAGATAAAAGTATTGAGAAGTTTAGGGTTTTAAAAAAATATATTTATTTATTTATTTATTTATTTAGGACAGGGTCTCTCTCCCATGTTCTTCAGGCTGGCTTTAAATTCACTAGCCTAGGCTGGCCTCAAACTCGGCAGCTCTCTGCAGCAGCCTCTTGAGTGCTGGGGTTTCGGGTGTGCGCCAGCATACCTAGCCTGCCTTAATATTTTTATATATGTAAGAGTATTAATGTAAAAACAGGGCTGGGGATTTAGCTCAGCAGCATAAGCGCTTGCGTGGCAAGTGCAAGATCATGAGTTCAATCCCCGGTACCAAAAAAAAAAGTATTAATGTAAAAATGGTCACTACTTTCTTATACTTTTCTTTTTGGTGGGGGGGAAAGAATGTTACAGATTTGAGGCCAATGTACTGTACACACAAAAAAACTTATGTGGAACCTATAGTGTACATTTTGATAGAGGACATGAAGTATTATAAGACCTAACCGTCGTGTTAGCATAAGCATTTTTGTAGAACGAATGCAGTGTTTTAACTGAAGATGCTGGAGATACGTAGCCTATCCTCCTTTTCGGTAGGGAGTTCTTTTCCCCATTTTCTTTTTGTAGTACTAAGGATTGGACCTAGGGCTTCTGGTCTTAGCTATAGCCCCAGCAAACACCTGTATTCCCGGCTACTCAGGGGACAGAGGGATAGAAAAGGTTGAGAACTACAGCTGACCTTTCCCTATGGAAAATTCATTTATTCTCATTATTGTTCTTTCATCTATACACTAGTTCTTCCATTTAACTTTTCATAAATTGTTGATGAGGTGCTGAATTGCCCAGGGTGGGCTGAAACTCGCAGTCCTCATGCTTCAGCCTTCCAGAATGCTGCGATTGCAGGCACACACCAACGCGCCCAGCTTGTTTTCTTTCTTTGCTTGTTAGGAGCTAAAGCTGTGTCTTGCTGTAGGTCAAGGGAAGAATGCCAAGATCCTGAAGCAAAATTGTATTATGGTAGACTGGTGACTCCACACATCAATCTAGAAACTGTAAGATAAGAATTGATGCATTTGATTCTGTAAAATATTTAGAGTTTAAAATTAAAAATGAAACAAATACACCCCCATACACACACCAAAAACAAACCCAGCTAAACTAAATCAAAGCACACTATAGACTGAGAGGAATACTGCATGGCCCAAGTGACCTGTTAGAGAGCTAACATCCTTTTATTGTTTCTTGAGCTAGTCTCACCGTGTATCCAAGCTGGCCATGAACTCACAGTTTCTGGCTGGGCCTCCCCAAGTGCTGGGATGCAGGTGTGCGCCACAATGCCTGGCTTTCCCCTCTCTGCTTGATGACATTGCTTTGCTACATACTTCTTGCTTCTCGTTGGGATTTATTATTTTTTTCCTCTTTTCCTAAACCACCATTGGAAGTCTTTTGAACATCTATTACTTACACAAAAGAAGCACAAATGGTGAGCCAAAGGTTTCGTCTCAGTCTCTGCCCTCTGGGCTTTAAATGTAGGTATTATAAGATGAGATTAATAGTTTCACACAGTGGTTTTGTTTCTGGAGCAGATTGAAGGAGCACAAGTGGGCCTTTTGTCCCCACGCTGTGCCAAGCATTAGGACTGGTGGTGCGTCTTTGGTTGTTCCTGATCACAGGACAGTGACACTGCCCGAGTGTGCTTGCTGCCTGTCAGTGACAGCTGTGCTCGCTTGCTTCTCTGCCTTCCAGGCGGGTCAGCTGTACTCTTCTCTGTCTTCCAACCTTGTGTATTGAGACCAGGTCAAGGCTGTTGGGTACAGGAGGTATGAACAGTCATAAGCTTTAAATAATAATAATAAAGTATTCAAATTTTTTCCTCAAAGTACTGGGGATTGAACCTAGGGTCTCTCAAGCTTGCCTCTGAGCCATATGTATCCCTGGCCCTGAGGCTCTTGTGTTGTCCAGGCTGGCCCTGAGCTTGCCTCTGTCCCCTGAGTGCTGGGATTACAGGTGTGTGCCTCTGCACCCAGCTGTACTTTAATGTTTTTAAGTACTGAGTTACTCTCAGTAATGAATAAAGATACAGAGAGAAAGTAAAATGTAAAGCATGATGCATAATGGTTTATATACATTTTATTGGGTGAATCCAAAATTGAAGGGGTATTGAGGATCCTCAAGTTTTTTGAGTTCTTTGAATAAATGCGAAAGGCTGCATTTCTTGAGTCTCATTAATACTTTTAATAGTCTCAAAATAATTTCTTTGCAATTTCAGCTAACAAAGCATGAATGATATGTATTCACCCTGAATATATTAGTGTACATATGTCTGTACTGCGTATTTGAAATTAGTGAAGTGTGAAGTATGGAGAAATCCTATGGTTCAGCTGGTCCATTACCGTAAGAACAGTTGTCCCGGCCCGGGGTTTAGCTCAGCGGTGTAAGCACCTGCCTTGGCAAGCACGAGGTCATGAGTTAGATCCCCAGTACCAAAAAAAAAAGAACAGTTGTCTCCCAGTGTCTGTGGGGATTGTTCCCAGGATCTCCGTGGGTGTTCCGGTCTCTTGTATGTAATGTGTAATGGCATTGTGTTTGCATATGACCTATGTACTTTCTCCTGTGTGTTTTAAATTATTTCAATTGCTTATAATACTTAATACAATGTAAGTGCTATGTAAATAGTTGTCACACCAAATTGATTTTGTTTCTTTGTTTTTTTGTCTTTTAACTTTTTTTTTTTATCGGTACCAGGGATCGAACTCATGACTACCTGCTTGCAAGGCAGGTACTTATGCTGCTGAGCTAAATCCCCAGACCCATATTTTTTGTCTTTTCAAGTAAGGGTTTTTGCTCAGCAGTTGCCACTGGCCTTGAGCTCACTTTGTGACCCACGCTGGCCTCAGATTTAAAGCGATTCTTCTGCCTCAGCTTCTGAGTGCTGGGGTCATAGGCATGGGGCACCATGCCCATGTGATTATTTTTGTTGTTGTTTTTGGGGATTTTAATTTTTTTATTTATTTTTGGCTTTTTGAGATACGGTTTCACCCTGCAGTTCAGGCTTGCATTGCTTCTCCTACCTCAGCCTCAGGAGTGCTGGGATTATAGACATGTACCACCATGCCCAGCTAGATGGTTCGAAGAAACATGGCAACTAAAGAGTGTGCATGTTCAGTATAGGTGCCATTCTCCCCTGAGCATTTTCTTATTTTTTTTTTGTCTTTTTCATTTTTATCGGTACCAGGGATCTAACTCACCACTGCCTGCTTGCAAGGCAGGTGCTTATGCCACTGAGCTAAATCCCCAACCCCCTCCCTGAGCATTCTGATCTGGTTGATTGAACCTACAGATGTGGAACCTGTGCATATGGAGGGCCAACAATAATGGAAAGAATACACTGGTATGAGTCAAATATTCTGAATTTAAAATGTTATCTCACACCAAGCTGTGGGGCCGCCACCTGTGATCTCAGGACACTGGGGGTCTGAGGCAGGAAGATTGAGAGTTCAGGTCCAGACGTTGACTCAACACAAAACGAAGCAGGTTATCTCCTAAGTTCTTAACTTGCTGTTTGAGTATCAAACAGATTAGCACAGTTCTAAAGTGGCACCATTTTTCCTATAAACTTACCTTCAGTTGCCAAATTCCATAATTTGGATATTCGAGCAATCCTAATTTTTAGAATAAAAGCCTTCATTCTTTTCCTGGCAGCCTCTACTATTTATTGGTCAAAAAGTTCAGACTTAGCTGGAAATATGTTCAGGCTTTTTGTTTTGTTTTGTGCCGCAAACCTTGGGCCTTGTATGTGCTGGACAAGCTCAGGATCAGCGAGCTGCACCCTGAGTATGTTGCTCAATATTTTACTGAATGGAAGTGTTCTGTTCATTGTTTTATGAATTTGTAAATAAGGGTTTTTGAAATTTATGAGTACATGTTTACGTTCCTTATAGGGGGTTGGTGTGTGTACTTCGCATATCTTCCTCCCTTCCTCATTCCCCTTCCCTCTCACTCTCTGCTTTCATCTCTTGGTCTCTTTCTCTACTTCTAGTTATCTGTCTTTTTTTTTTTTTGCTGTTTATATTTTGGGTTTCTCATATAAGATTAACCATGTGATACTTAAACTTGTGTGTCTGACACCTGTTAATACTGTATATTGGAAAAGATAATTGGCTTTGGTGTTAGATCCAATTCACATTACAACCCTGTTACTTACTTTGATCAGCTGTTTTAAAACCTAGCCAGGCCAGTAATCTTAGCACTCAGGCAGGCTGAGACAGGATGATTGGTACAAACCTAGCTCCATAGCCAGTCCAGGGCCAGCCTACCTGCATAGCAAGACACTGTTTCCAAAAAACCTTCATGTGGTTTTGAATTAAGGTAATACTACCTGTTTCACAGGATTGCCATGGAATAAGGGAAGAATCGAATGGCAGTTAGTAGCTAATCCAGTAAAGACCAGAGACCTTCAAAGACTCAGTTTCAGCCAGGCATAGTGTCACTAGGAAGGCTGAGGCAGGAAGAAGGTCCAGAGTTAGAGGCCACTTGGGCTACACAGTGAATTCAAGGCCTGCCTGAACTGCGTGGTGAAACATTGTATCAAATAAATAAAACCTCAGTTTTGGATCTCAAGTATTTCCTCAACTTCCAAATTGTGTTGGAGCAGGGTGTGGTGGCACACAAGTGTAGTTCTAGCATTCTGGGAAGCTGAAACGGGAAGATCACAAGTTCAGGCCTGGCCTGGACAATTTAGTGAGACCCCATCTCAAAAAACAAAACAAAACAAAAAACATACAAAGGGCTGTGGATGTAGCTTGGTGGGAAGGCCGTGGGTTCAGTCTCCAGTAGTGAAAGAGAAGAGAAAGAAACAGCATTGCCAGGGTCTAAGATTCATCTTGCGTGCCCTTTCGAAGATTAACACCTCTCTTTCCCCTGTGGGTACTATACCCTAATTTTCACAGTATCTTTTTCCTTACTGTTGTTCTTGGTATTTTTACTGCCTAAATGTGTAGCTCTAAACAGCACGTAGTAGTTTACTTCTGTTATTTCTGTGCATGTGTCTTTGCACATGTGCGTCTGTTGTTGAAGACTGAACCCTGTCGTTCTCTCCCACTGAGCTGCATCCCAGCTAAGTTGCCCAGCATGGCCTCAGACTTGTGATTTTCTGCCAGGTATCCGGGATTACAGGTGTATGACAGTATGCCTGGCATCAGTTTTTAAACTTTACATTACAAGTAGAATCATACAGATGAATTCTTCATTGTTTAATAGTACTTTAATACTGTATTCATTAAATGGCCAGAGTGGACTTAATGGAATGTCTGCCATATTTGGTACCTGTTCCTGCTCTCTAACCAAATGGTCTGTCATGCACTGTGGGAGGTGCAAAGACAGTTAGGAATGGGGTAACAGACAGAACTTGGCTTTGAACCCAGATTTCTCAGTGTCTCTTACAGCACCGTGATACTCTTATGGCAGTAGGAAATGTTAAGGTGTGAGTATGGTAGACAAGCATAGTAGAGCTATCCCAACATACGTAAATATTTAGGTTTCTGACCTCAAGAAGTACTTGAGTCATCTGAAGCACTGAATTTTATAGACTGTTCTTTCTTTTTCAGGTGAAACTCCCCCCAATGATGGAAATCATCACTGCTGAGCAGCTGATGGAATATTTAGGTTAGTGTTGAAGAGCGGATGATTTTATATTTCTTTCAAAATTGGTATATTATACAGGCTCACCTTTCTGAAGTAATAATATAATTTGAATTTTTAATTAAAAAATGTTTACAAGGATGTTAGTGTTGTTGGGTATTATATAGCCTTCTCCTAAGCAACAGTGAAATTCTGTAACAGAAATAAGGAGAGTGAGTATATCCCGGAAACAAGATGCATATTAATTCCTGTAAACCGCAGAAAGGGAGAAGGCACAGAAACTGACACTACATATAGCTAGTATTTAAAAATATTAGATAGACATGAATTAGAGTGAAAGCAGTGGGCTGGAGCTGTAACCTGGTGGTTGAGTGCGTGCCTACCTGTGCAAGGGCCTGGTTTGGTCCTCAGCACTATAAAATTTAAAAATGACAAAGGTGACTTATGGCATTGCTTTCAAAACTTTGATTTTTGGATTATGCCAGATTTTGAAATACTAATTATTGGCCTGCAGTGGAATAGGAACTTATTCCAGGCTGTAGAACATTTATAATTTCATTCATTAGTAAATATATTATTTAGTTCATCTGTAATTTTTTCATAGCAAAAAAAAATTTTTTTTTCCTATTCTGGGAATTGAACCCAGGGCCTTAGTATTAAACTATATCCCCCAGTCCTTTTTAAAATTATTTTTTAAATTTTGAGATGGGGGGGGGGGCTTAGCTCAGCGGCGTAAGCGCCTGTCTTGCAAGTGCGCAGTCGTGAGTTCGATCCCTGGTACCGATAAAAAAGAAAAAGACAAAAGACAAAAAAAAAAAAAGAAATTTTGAGACAGGGTCTTTGTAAATTGCCAGTGGGCTGGATAGGAATTTGGGATTCTTCTGCTTCAGACATGCTGGGATTATAGGCAAGCAGCACTATGCCTGAAAGAATTTTCTTGATGAGGGAAGCAATGTATTTTTGTTGCTGTTGTTCTGTTTTGTTTATTTTGTTTTGATTTTAATTAAGTTTCTTGGTACATTTCAAATATACATAATCATTTTCATCTTAGGGACTTTGTGCCTGTACATTACTTCCCTCAGTTCTCTCTCTTTTTTTTTTCTTTGCATTCTCTTATCCTCCCTTCAGTCCTTCTTCCCCTCCTTATTTACCAAAGCTTTGTTCTGTTTCTGGGGTTTTTTGCTTTTTTGGGGGGAAACAATGTGTTAAACTAAGAATTTATGTACTCATTCTGTTATCAGATAGGTAATCTTTTTTGTCAGCTGATAGTTTGTTTCCATCATTCCAAACAACCCACTGATTTGATTTTATGTTTTAATTTTTTGTAAGATAGAGGCTTAGTGGAGTAAGCCTCTTGGGATTGTAACTTTGGAAGGCCCTTTTCTTGTGTAATTATATCATTTAATCCTTACTCCCTTGGCCACGGGCCTGGGCCTTGTACTTACAGACAGATGACTGAGCACTGTACCTAGAAACCGCCGAGCAGACTTCCTTTTTATCCCTCTTAATTAGCTAATGATTTTTACACTTCAGGATTTCCAAAATCTGTGTCATGAAGAAGGCTGATTGTGCTTGGTCCTTTTGAGGAGCAGTCAGTGTGACTCCAGGGAGTCGCAGAGGGCGGGAAGGGGAGCTCAGAGGGTTAATGGCACCTGATCCCATGGGCCCAGTGGGCTGTTATGATGGAGACTTGGACAACTACTGAGTGAGCTGGGAGGCTGAGGCAAGAGGATCACACTTTTGAGCATAGCTTAGACAATTTAGCAGCGTAGATATTGCTTCAAAAAAAAAATTTTTTTTTAAGAAGTTGCTCAGTGTGAGGGCCCTGTGTTCAATTCCCAGTACTGCCAAAAGAAAAAAAAGTTAGGAAAGAAAGAACAGGTATGGAGAAGAAAACAGGTAGCTGTGATTTTCTAGATTCCAGGTGAAGAAGTTTTCAAATATAGTGAGGATAGCCAGATCTCAATCAGCAGGGTGAAGACTGAAGTTGCCCATGGCTGTTGCCATCACTGGCAGAGCTTGACAGCCTGAGTGAGTGTGCTGCCTGGAGATAAGTGAGGACTGGAGGCCTCACACAGACGGCACCAGTGTAAGATGAAGCGGGCACCTCGGGAACGGGGCTGCAGTGGTCCTCAGTGATCCTTGCTCTTCAGGAGGATGAGGCAGGAAAATCCAGAGTTCAAAGCCTGTCTGGGCAGTTGAGTGAGACTTAGCTCAAAATAAAAAACCTGGCGTGGTGGCTCACACCTGTAATTCTAGCATTGTGGGAAACCCAGGAAGGATTAGCAAATTAGTGACTTCTCAAGACACCTTGATTTATGTTTTTTTGGTGTTGTTTTCTTTTTTTTTAGAGACAGGGTGTGCTTTGTAGTGCAGCTGACTTTAAACTCACTATGTAGCCCAGCATGGCCTTGAACTCACAGCTGTTGTGCCTCAGCCTTCCTGTGGTGCAGTTACAGGCTGGCTCCACCCACTGGCCTACAAACTTACTTAAAAGGGGTGGTGGCCAGGCATGGTGGTACATGCCTGTGATCCCAGCACTCAGAGACTGAAGCAGGAGGATCACTGTGAGTTTGAGGCCAGCCTGAATTGCATATAGTGAAATGACCCAAAAAAAAGTGGGGCAGTGGGGGGAGTTGGGAATGTAATGCTCCCTCCCTAGTTTTAGTACCCAGTACAGCATAAATAAATGAGCTAAGCTAGGAGTATAGCTTAGTGGTAGAGTGGTTCTGTATTCCATTCCCAGTGCCTCAAAAACCAACTAATCAACAAACAAAAACAGGACTAGGGATATGGCTCAGTGGTAGAACACTTGCCGAGCACACTCCTGTCCCTGGATTGGGGGATGTTACATACAAAGCTAAGTGTGGCGAGGCAGGCCTGCAGTCCTGGCCACTAAGGTAGATGACTCAAGAGGATAACTGATCCCGAGAGTTAAAAAGTTTAAATGTGGAATGCCATATAATTCTGAAGTTTGACATCTAGTATTTGCTTAAAAGAGCTAAAAAAATAGATGTCTAAACAAAAACTTGCACAGGAATATTTATAAAATTATTTGTAATAGCCATAGAGTAGAAACAGTCCAGATGTCTTACCAACTTATAAGTGGATGAACAGATATGTCCATATATAAGAGAGTTGGGCGTGGTAGCTCATGGCTCTCTTCCCAGCACTTAGGAGGCTGAGCCAGGAGGCTCATCGTGAATTTGATCCTGGGCTACATAATGAGCTCAAGTCTAGCATAAAGTGTATAGCAAAGTCCTGTCTCAATAAAAACATAGAGTTGTAAGTGAAAAATAAGGTGAATGTTTACAATTTAAAAAATTTATTACAGTAGAAGGCATTGCCATTAATCCGTGTCAAAATACTCCTCACTTTGAACATACTTACCCATGGTTCTTGGCTAATTTTCAGAGGTGTTCTGGAAGCCCTGTTTTGTAAGCATTTTAGTCGCACTGTCCCGCTGCCTTGATGTCCTGCATCAGTCAAAGCTTTTACCTTTCTAAGTCTTTCTAGCTCTGAGGGAGCAGAAGTTACGCAGCCACGTGAGTCGAGGACACAGTCATGTTAGTGCGAGCCTGTCTTGACACGGTGGGCGGCTCAGAGGCTACAGTTCCCGCCTTTGAGAGCTGCTGGGAACAAGTGTGCTCCCTTACGCTTGCTTGTTGTAAGTGGGGAGTGCGGTTCTGACGGCAGCGAGCCCCAGCAGAGCCGGCCGGCAGTGTGATTCACTGATAGCACAGAGGGGTGAGTTGGGTGCAGAAATACAGCTGCAGACTCATAATGCCTCTATGTTTTAGAGAGGGAAGCAGCGCTCAGATGAAGTTAGGTGCACTTTCTTAGGTAATTTAAACAATGTCAAAAGGCTGATAGCCTCTTTCCCTTCTGCTACCAAAAGTGGTTTTGTTGTTACTATTTTTATTGGTTGGTTTGGTTTTTTGGCTGTGTTAGGAATCAAACCAAGAGCTTGCACATTGCTGGGTTTTGTTTGTTTGTTTGTTTGTTTGTTTTGTTTTTGTCTTTTTCCTTTCTCCTTTTTATCGGTACTGGGCGTTGAACTCACGACTGCCTGCTTGCAAGGCAGGCGCTTATGCCGCTGAGCTAAACCCCCAGCCCCTAGCTTGCACATTGCTGAGCAGACTTTCTATCACTAGATGTACTCTAGTGCTCAAGATATATTTTGGTTTTTGGTTTTTGTTTTATGTTTTTTTTTTCTTTCGTCTTGAGACAAAACAGTGTATCCAGGCGTACTCTGTAGTCCAGGCTGCCCTTGCTCTCACTACATAGCCTAGCCTGGCCTCAAACTCTTGGTGACTCTCCTCCCTCAGCCTCCTGTTCTTTGTATTTTTGAGATAAGGTCTTACATACAGTGGTACTGTATGTGAGGTACTGCAACAGATGGGAATTCTGATGGCACAGGTTGGAGAAGAGAAAAAATTTCATTTTGGGAATTTCTGTTCCTAGAGTAATGATGGCAGACTTTTGGAGTTTTCAGTGATATGAACAGCCTCCACATGAGTGCTGTAGTTTCCCTCTCTGTCCTAGAGTATGAGTGTCAGATCCAGCATGAAAGTGGCTTGTGGGAAAGGTTTGCATAGAGAAACACAACGCATTGAGATCCCTGATAAAATAAGGTGGGGAGGCCCTGTCAGCAGAAGGTGAGATGCTGAGAGGGATAAAATAAAATGCTTATTACATGCTAGAATGTGTATTGTGACTTTACCAGTCATGATAATATGATAGTATAACCAATGTATGATAGGAAGAAAGATAGTTGTTAGGCATTGGTAGCATTGTCTAACTTCATCAGTTTGTTTTTGGTCTTTTTGAGATAGGGTTTCACTATGCAGTTCAGGTTGGCCTTGAACTCACAATGTAGTCCAGGCTGGTTTTGAACACACAGCAATCCTGCCTCAGCCTCCTGAGTGCTGGGATTACAGGTGTGTACCACTGTGCCTGGCAGCATTGTCTAACTTTTGAGAAAAGTTCTCATTATGTTGTTAATGTTTCCCAAATTAGCCTTG